TTCTGCTTCAAAAGTAATTTTTAGCCTAGGCAATGACCCCCAATGCTTAGGCCTGTAGCCACATATGGTAAGAAGATTCACCAAAGTGTGGTATTATGACTTCTTGCAGTTCCATGCTTAGGATAATGAAAGCTAATGATCCCAATCTTTAAATTAGTGCTATTACATTACAAGGCATAATAACAAAGGATCATTTCCCCCTATAAAGGAATGGAGTTATCTGCATCTATGCCTCTTATGACGTCACGTTTAGCCACACCCACCAACATGGTGGAAATTGAAAGGAAGCAAGAAGTGCATTTTTGAAGGCTCATATCTCAGTGAATAATTTTTTTAGACAATACGAGTAGGAACACATTATTATGGTCAGGCAACAATATTAAGACCATAAAATAAATACCCTTAAAAATCACTGCAGCTTTACTTTAATGATGCAATTGTATACAGCTGGTGGGAAAACAGGTGGTATAGGACATGGCTTTAGTGACCTTTTACGTTTTAAATTCTTCATGAACATCAGTATTCTTTCTCTTACAAGGAGGTGAACCACTGAGCTCCATTGAAATAAGTCACTTATGTGTAGGTGATATTCCTATCACAGTTCAGTAATATTTTTAAAATCATCACTAATTCACTCTACACATGTATACTTTTATCAGTTGAAGTGCTTAATTGACTAGAACTGGTGCTACTTGTATTGACATTCATAGGATAGATTGAAGACACTTCAGAAAAACTAGCAAACTCCTATAATTATGAGACATCATTACGAATGCCCTCATTTATGCATAGTGCCAGTTACCTCTCTCACAATACGTTTTATCTTCATTCTTGTGCTACTTTGTGGGACTAAGTACTAAATGCCTCAAGATCCCCTATTAGTGACACTAAAGACTCACCATCAATGCCATTATCTATAAAAAATAACACTAAGCGAGTAATGATTGCCGCCGCTTGTCCATTTGCTTTACCAAAGAGTGAGTCTACGACTCCTCCTCTATTTTGTTTTCATTAAGGATTCTTCTAACGTCAGCTACTGCAGTACTAATTATATCCATGGCTTGAAAAAGTAGAAAGGCACCAATAGCAAGCTCCACTGTGTTTACTTAACTTTGGATTGATCGTATCCCCTGGCAACACCCACCAAAAATAATAAAAATTCCTATTTTTAATTGAAGCTTCTGTGCGTTTAAAACCAAAAGTAGTACAGCTTCATACAAGCAGGTCAGAGGATGCCATGCTAATGATCCCATCTTTATGGTGTATTGTTATGTCTGTGGAGCTTCATCTACAAAGTGGGATACCTTGAGATAGCATGCTCAAAGAGTTCATAGTAGAGATAATAGTAAGTTCAGTGTAACTGTGATGGTGTGAATGCATGTATCAATGTAATGATAGTTGGAAATGAATTTCAAAATGATTGTGAAGATAAAGTCATTAGTAGTGATGAGCTTGATGAAATGAAATCAAGTGACACAGCAGCAACCACAGATGATGTCCCGGCAATCGATATGGAGGGATAATCAGCTCTCTTGTTATGAACCAGTGATGAATTGTCACTCTCACATAATGGAGTTATAGGCTATGCTCTTCTACTCAGTGGTTCATTGATACAGTATCAGAGTCAATAAGTCAGAAAATCAAGGGATACATAAGTAGAATCAGTGTTGAGTATGATGGAAACAATATTTATGGATTATGTCACACAGAGAATGTATTTGGTGAACTGTCTTCAAGGTACTAGAGGATAAATTATTACGCTACTGCATTCAGTTACGTGGTATGTGAATATCTATTGCTGTTTAACTTATACATGGATTGTTAGAAACCTGAAACTGTCATCTTAGGCTGTGAGTGGGAATGGTCTCCAGTATATGGTGAGAAAAAACTTACAGAAATAGTGCAATATGGATACTACATAGATATTTTGGGTACACTGAAGGTAAGATCACATTTTGGAGCATTACATAATTATGACACATCACAATTACATGTACATAGGGAGTTTTAAGCAATCCAGCAATGCAAGACAAATTAACTTTAACTCACATGAGCACTGATAACATCTAACGTGACTACTGTGATAGATCTTTCTACAAAAATCACAAATTGTTTAGCAGAGACAAAACAGCTCTTCAAATAGTAGTCTACTATGACAATATAGAGGTAGCAAACCCATAAGGATCACGTGCTGGAAATCACAAACTAGGTACATGTAACTACAATTTACTTAATGTGTATATACAATGTACTCGTGTCTTTGCTCCTTCTTCTGCCTCTCAGTCTCTGTCTCACACACACACAATTTATACATGTACTTTGTGTACATGTACATGTACTCTATCTAATCACAGGTTAGACAATGTACTCATGTCTTTCTTCCTTCTTCTCCTTCTCTCTGTCCCTCCCTCCATTCCTCCATCCGTCCATCCCTCCCTCTCTCTCTCACACACACCCACAATGTATACATGTACATATACTTGTAGTATACTTGTGGTTAAGATGAAAGCATTTCTTTGTGTATTATATGACAGAGTGTTGTGGGTTCTTACACTGTACTCTACGAATTATAGAGAACTTACTGTTGCCCATTGAAGCAAAAGAAAAGACTGTGACCCAGTTCAGTAAGTGATGTAGAGCATAGTTGTGGTTGGCAGGAAGAATGCTTTGATCTCATCCCTCAGGACCTCTTATATAAGCATGCAAAAAATGGGAAAAAGCTATTGTGGGGCAAGCTTTTAATGACTTAACAAGAGTATTAATTATTATATTGAATAATGCAATAAGCACACAGTACATAAGTAGTGAGTTCTCAATTCACAATCGTCACGTAGCATAAAAGTTATTCACACAATTACTGAACTGTCCTGAAAATACTGCACCTTCATTTCGTGGTTTCTCATTTTCTTTTCCTTCTTCTTCACCTTCTTGATCCTTTTTTATGTCACTTTTCACAACATTTAAATCAGCAGAACCAAGGATTTTTGTCACACAACGTTGTTGCTTGGTTGTAACTCGTTCATACTGTCTCAAAGCAGTAAGAGAGCAGTGGCCAGACTTCTCTTGCATAATCTTCTGTGACACACCAGATTCAAAGAGACAAGTTGTAAAAGTAGCAAGCAATGAATGATTAGTATAACGTGTAATGGTACCAGCACTCTCCAACATGCTTTGAAGCATTGCTTTTAAAGTGTTGATACCTACAAGAACGTTGATGTACCAGGATGTTGCTCTATCAGCTGGGAGATCTTTTTATGGCCTTCAACAGAATGCATTTGGGTTTTCTGGAACCTTGCTGAAATAGAAATTGATCTATTTTACTAAGCATTTCTGAGATCCTAAAATTGCATGGACTATCACCGTCTTGTTCTTCATGTCATGTCTTTAAAACAATCCAAGTGATTATTAGATATCAACTTGGTGTATTGATAATATGAGTCCTCATTGTTGACCTCCACATTATTGGGATAGCAACAGAACTGTTCCGGTTTCAGATCATGCTGCTCTTGCACATCTTGGAGGCATAAATGTAGGCCAATGTAGAAAAACACCATATTCTGTAACGATTTTGGAGACTCAAAGGAAAATATACCCTTGTCCCAAAGTAATCCTTCGTCTTCAATAGATATGACAGGAGCCAAATGCTTGAAAGCACCAAGACCTTGGGCGTGAAGTGTGCTACCAATACTATCTAGAATCTTGTGGAGCTTTACAAATCAAGTGTCGGCTTTATCCAAAAAGCTGAACTTGACTCCACTGAATCGACAGACGCCATATAAGCCACAAAGAAGGGCATACAATGAGGATGGTGGATACGGCTTGCCTGACTTTTGACATGTCTCCTTGACGAAGAGACACAACCATTTAAACATTCGTCGGCATAGCTAAATGAATAAAGATTCGGAGGAACATGGTCGTCAGGTAAACGAGAATTACGAGACGTAGACCAGTTATTGAAGTTTTGCACAGCCCATGTGTTGTTCTTAGTGTTGAAAGGCACAACTCCTTAGGCAACTTCTAACTCATCATCTTCAACAATAGTAAAACTTTCCTCTGATTTCTTCTTAAATAAAGACAAAGCAACTCTTCTTTTCTTCGATGGAGGTATATTTTCACTGCTACTGGTAGCCATTCTCACATAACACTTTTTTCTCTCTCACATGGAATAAAGGTGTGGCAGTTCCTACTGCGCATGCTCAGTGTACTACAAATCAATTAAAGCATGGGTCTTTGTGCACTATTGGATTTATCCGCACTTGCTTCCGGTCTCGTTGCTAAAAATAGAGCACTTGGCATTTGGCCTCGTGCTCAATTTTTAGCAACTCGACCAGAAGCTCGTGTGGATAAATCCAATGAAGCACTCAGACCCATGCTTTAACTAATGCATGTAATCTCATCTAATCACAGTTTATACAATGTACTCATGTCTTTGTTCCTTCTTTCCCGTCTCTCTCCCTGTCTCACACTCAAACATACTGTAATACGGTAATACAGGTACATGTACATATACATGTACTTTCATCTAATTTTGTCCCTCTGTATCTCTCTTCTAGGTTTTATTTTACAATTGGAAATATATGACCTAAATACAGATCATAACTAGAGTTAATATTTTTGCTATCAATTGCAAAATCATCATTTCTTAAAGAATTTTCTGCTGATGCCGTATTAACAAAGTTTACTATACAAATGAATGAATTATATCACATAATACTAACTAAATACATGAACATATGTATCTAAAACTATTATTAATATTATATCATGCATGCGTACTATGATAGGGTTACACTTCAGGCTCTCCAATGGCCAAGTAATAAAAGTAACACCTTTGTTCAATAGATGTTCCAGCTTCTACATTCTTAGGAGGTTTGAAAGAGGGAGTGCAATTTGCTCTAAGAAAGTGCCGAATGTGCATTGCTACCAAAACTGACCTATCAACCAACAATAATGCTGTAATACATGTACATTGTACATGTAGTTTCATGCCAGCTTTTTTATAGAGAGAACAATTAAGGATCACATGGAATACCTTGAGCTAATAGAAATGGTAGAGCAGAGCCATTCTGTGACATATGGAGTTAACTGTCGGAGTCCACTGCTTGATCTTACAGGATTGAATGTGACAAAATGTCTTCCATATGACATTATGCTCACAATTTTTGAAGGAGTGGCAACCCATCATCTTCAGGCATTGTTGCCCTATCTAACTGATAAAAAACAATTTATTACTTTACATCGATTAAATTCACTATTAACCCTTTAATGCCGAAATTAACTTTGGAATAATAGTAATTTTCTGGTGGTACAAGTTTAGCAATGCATATCTCTCAACATCTTGTCCTGCGAAGCTTAAAACTTGCTAGCAGCCTTTATGAGATGTTCATCCTTAAATAGAAGCAGTATTTAGGTGAATGAAGCGGCATAAAGCAATGGAGCACCTACTGTAAACATACTCACCGCTTTTTTAAACTACACAGACTTTGTGAAGCAAAAGAGAGAGTTCTATCATGTGAAGCAGGATCTGGTAGGCAGGTTATGAAAGAATGAAGAGGCAAAAGTCAGTACAGAAGATGCTTCAAGTAGAGACGCTACTGTGACTTGTCGAGGAGCCATGGTTCATAAGCCGTTGCTAAGCAAAATGTGGCCACACCCACTGCTTTTTTTCATTAAAATGTTAGGCAAAGCAGCTATCTCGAGTCGCATGCCTTTTCTACTCACCTCTAGAGGATTTCACAAGCCAAAGTTAAGTCTAAACATTTTATCTGATGTTATGTCATTTTCTAGGTAACTAACCTTGGCCGCTAATCGTTTCAAACAGTTTGGGTCACCCTACTGTAGTTTTCAACCTATATATTGTGTTTTGAGTCTGAGACAATGGTATATATGTTAGAGAGATGAAAGGAGAAGTTATATAAGCTATCTAGAATATTATATTGCCAATAATAAAAAGGAAAATACCAAAAAAGTCTTATTCTACACCTAGTCACGTTTTGGATGTACAGGAACGTCATTCGGTGTTAAAGGGTTAAGGACACAAAACTATAGTCTGTGAGAAGAAAACCCATCTCTAATAAGCCATGATTCAGGCACATACCACATTAAACAGTCAGGTACATGTACAGGAAATGTAAATGCCTTATGTCGGGTATATTTCAATGCATCAATAATTTCCGAGGAAGCAATCCATAGCAAAAAAAACAAGAAATTTTAAAGTATGCGGATAAAAAGAATTAGAAGATATGTGGTATTGTGCAATCATTATGAACACATGGTTTCATAACTATCCATTGCTTCTAGCTCAAAGGCCATAGAGAGCCTTCTTAGCCAGTCAGAAGTGTTGCTAAGGTTCATTCAGAAGTGGAGAAGTCAGCAAATGCTTTGATTTACTTACCAGGCCAGGTGGTGGATGGGAATAATATCAAGTAAAATATTTTCGGAATAAAAGGGCTTCCTAATTTTTTCATGACTGAACTTTAAAATTACGTCACTTTTCATGCATTGAAATATACCCAAAATACGGTAGATAACCTCTTTACTATTACATATACATGTAGCTTCTCAAATGATGAATCTGATATGTCTGCTTCCCATTCTCATTGGCAATAAGGTGAATGATGATGACCACTGGGATTGTTACCGCCTTTTACTTGGCATATGTGATATGGCTTTTTCATTTGAGGTTCATCCAGAAGACCCAAATAAGTTAGCCTGGATCATACAAGCATAATTATTTAAAATTCTTTTCTACTTTATATTGCCTGGAGAAGTCCGTTACACCTAAAAGGCATTATCTCCTTCACTTACCTCAACAAATGCAAATATAAGTACATGTATGGCATACTCTGATTATATGTGACCATAATTGACAAAAGGGCCCTTATGGCGGATTTTAAAATTGATCGTTATAATGGAAAATATCAACGTGTGAGTGCTTTGTTAGACAATCATTGTTTCTAAAAGTTTCATGGTAACTTTTTGCATCCTGTGGAGTAATTTTATGATGAATGGGGCTCAGGAAGTTGGATTTCTTAGGCTAGAAAGACATATATCACTACCCGCCATAAGGT